TTCTGCATCCAAGGCTGTTGTGTAAAAGTTCAGGAAGGTCCTTTTCCAAAGCAGCCACTGCTGGGCTGCGGGCACCTCTCTGATCTGATGACGCTCAGGTGGCCATAGGCGCCCTGTGTTCGGGGCTGTCTCTCGGGCAGTGGGAGGAGGACACACGTACTTACTGAGCAGCCCATGGCACCCTCACGTCCAGGTGCTGCGGAGTAAAGGAGGTCCTGATGCCCAGGGACCCGCCGCAAGGCTGGTGAGGGCTCGGGCTGCAGCTCAGGGTCTGGAGATGCAGGCTGCGGGGTCAGAGCCCGTCCCTGCGACCGGCTGGGTTAGAGGGAGCCCTCGGGTCTGATGTTTTGCTTTCTCCTTTCCTCTCTTTGTCCTTTTCCCCCAAACCTGAGCACAGGAGATGAAAATGTCCCTCCAGAACAGGGGGCACCAAGCTACGGCCCCAGTCTCTTTATAAGGAAGGTTTAATGGAACCCAGGCCGGCCTGTTTGTTTACATATTGTCTGTGGCTGCTTTCCCGCTGCAGTGGCAGACTGGAGTAGTTGCGACAGAGACGGTGCGGCCCACAAAGCCTGAAATATTTACTACCCGGCCGTTTACAGCGAACGTTAGCCAAACTCTCCTCTCAGAGGTCAGTGGGGGCCAGTTTGTCCTTTTATGGGCATTCTTGCCCACCCAGCAATGGACAGAATGGCACAATTAACTACAGCACTTGGAGGGTTTGCCAGGTTGGAGTGCCACACAGACATCTAGCATCTTTGAACCTGTCCCTAGACGTGGAGCTTCCGGGGGAAGCTGGGGGACCCCAGAGGAGCCAAGGGAGGTCCCGGGTCACCTCCTCTAGCCCCCCATGCCCAGCACACACCTGGTGCTGCAGCAGGAATCCAACTACCCTAATGCCCGCAACTGGGAACCTCATCTTAGTTTCTGTTCAGTGTAACCCGGTCTTAGAGAACCACACTTTAACCCCAGCGATTTATCTTGGGCCTGTTGGCATAGAAGAATGCCAGGCCCGGACCACAAACTCCTCGCCTCACCTCTCCTCTGAATAACACCTTCAGAGGTGAGACAAGACATCTGCCAGATCTCACTTAAACTTGTGTGTGTCTCGCAGAGGCTCCTCTGGGAGACAAAGCCTTCTTTATCAGCCCCAGTCCCCTCTGGGGATGGGACGGTGTTTACAGCCGGGGTGTTATCCAGATGGCTTTAGCTCCCTCTCAAACAAGGTGTACCTGCATTTAGAGGCAGTCATTACCTCTGTCTTGCTTTTATTGCTGTCTTGTTTTGTCTAGACCAAGCCATCGCTGCAAGGAATCTGGCTGGGGGCCGGGAGCACATTCCCTGCCATGGAGCCAGGGACTGCAGGGACTGCAGGGCCCTGCGAGGGGCCGAGTCCTCCACCTTCTCCTAAGGGATCATAGTGTCCAAGCTTTGCTTCCGATTTTCTGCTCCCCCTGGACTGGAATGGGGGCTCTTTGGGTGCTTGGAATGAGAAGTGAATTTCTTGGGTGCTTTCCGGAAAGGAAAGCTGACAGTTCCCCACCCCACCCCATAGATGGAGGTCAAGGTCACATTAAACCCTGGATGCCTCAGGGGTCCTTCAGATCCGCCCTGACGTGGGAGAGAAATGGAGTGAAATGTTGGGTGCTCCCCAGGAGTGGGGCGCTGGCAGTTCTCCCCGGAGCCACCCGTGCAGAGCGCCCGACGATGATGATGATGATAACGCGATGGTGGTGGTGACAGCAATGGCGATGCCGCCTCCCATCTGTTTGCGCCATTTCTCAACCCTGGCTGCACATTAGAATCTCCCCAGGTGGTTTTTAAAAATACCTTATCAGAACCCTACCCCGAACCAGTTATTTTCGAACGCTAATGGCGAGGCTGGCTCCGGCCTTGGTGTTTTGAAAAAGCTCCTCAGACTATTCTAATGTGCAGCCGGGGCTGAGAACCATGCGCGTGCTTTCATAGCCTGTGATTACAAGTAGCTACTAATTTAACCCTCGGCACAGGGCAGGGAGTGTGGTGTTAGCATTCCCACGTAGGCAGGGAAACAGTCCTCAGATTTGCCAAGGCCTCAAATCCAGGCCTCCCGACGACTCCAAGTGCAGTGCTGACTCCCTGCCAGCGCACCCCCCTCCCCCCTCACAGCCTGAGAAACAGCCGTCTGGGCCCAGTGCTTCTGCACGCTCTCAGTGCTCTGCCTCCTCAAAGCCTCGCCCTGGTTGTCTGCTTTCTTCCTAAAGAGCGTTTTCCCATGGAGTCCTTCCTTGTTCAGTGCACCCTTCCCTCCCTCACGCCATACACACGCACACGCACACGCACGTGCACGCGCACGCACACACCCATATACACCTCTTTGCAGTCAGCTCCTGATAAAAAAGCCCAGTTGTCTGCCTTCTGAGGCAACACAGAATCCCTTGCACTGGGCAGCTCTCCTCACGGAATCCCAGAATCCATTGCACTGGAAGCACCACACAGTCCCTGAATTTATTGCACTGGGTGGCGTGCTTCATGGAATCCCAGAATCCCTTGTGCTGGGTCCCTCTCTTCATTGAATGCTTCTGGCCTGGGGCCGTCTGGGAGGTGAGGCAGCGCATGCTGCCACCCGGACTAGGGTCAGGCCGTTGGAAGGGGAACGAGCCAGGAAGGGTTCTCGGCTCCCTCAGGTCCAGTCAGGTGCTCTAAGCTCCCCTTCCTTTACACAACAGGAACCCAGGTGTCATCGCCAGCGGCAGAGACAGTGGTGGGGGCAGCTGCCATTGCTGCTGATCCCGCTGGTCCTGGTTGGTGTGATTGGGCCCGAGTGCGGGGAGGTGCTGTCGTGCCCATGCTAATGATGGCGTAATGACAGCGGGATTTCATCGGAGGTCTCAGAGCTGCGGGGCCTCCTGGGTGAGAGGCGAGGTCTGCGGGGACCTTGGCAGAGATGACCTGATGCTGTCTGAGGGCAGTGGGGGTCCAGCACCTGGGCTGTGTTTTGTGTGAGAACTCTGGCCTCCTTGACAGGTGACCTGGCTTCATTAGCAGTGTGGCCTGGGAGGAGGCCATCTCTTTAGCCTACCTTTCTGCCTCTAAAATGGCGATCATGGTAGTGCTTCCCTGGGGGGGAGAACGGGTGAGTAATCGAGGTACAACACCACCGTGCCTGTCCCTTAGTGCGTGCTCAGTACGTGCTGTTCCTGCTGTCGTCATCTGACCCACCCGAGTCGGGGAGAAAGGATCTGCAGGCTCTTTTTGTAGAAACAGGAAACTTCTGAGGATGCGGGTTCTGTTCGGGGAGCTCTTCCCCGAAAGCTGTGTGTTTGTGGGAGGGGGGTGTCCCTTCCTTTCTCCCTCCTTCTCTCACTTTCTAGTAGCTGCTCCGAGGAAAGGTCAAACCCAGCTTCCGGGGAGCACGGCCCAGTTTAGCTTTTGTTCTCTGTCGTCACCGTACACTTTAAGGAGACTGCTTCCTGTGTGCAGTGTGTTCAGAGGGCGCTGCAGTGTGGCCTGGGCGTGAATTACGAGAGAGAGAGAAAAGTCTGAGCTGGCAGCTCCCGTGTCCCACAGATGCATGGCTGAACACAGGTAGATAGATATGTAGACAGGAGAGAGACACAGCATGTCTGTCCCAAGCAAGAGGGGGTGAAGGGCAAGGTGGAGGTCAAGGGCAATCGGGGGGGTCTGGCAGCTCACGCTACCACTTTCAGTCTCATGGGCGGGGGGACACCTTTTCATGGCCCTGGCCTCACCCTGGTGATGGGGTCACAGCTCCATTCCGATCCTGCTTGGAAAGTGACGAAAGCAGACACAATACGCTTCCTGACCCTGGGAATAATTGGCAGGTGACCCGGGGCCTCAGGAGGCTCAGGGGGGAGGCCAGCCCTCCTGCAGATGTGCACATAGCTGGCCTGGAGGGACCCAGAGAGGGCCTGCTGAGTGTGAGCAGCTAGGACCACATCTGTGCTAGAAGTCACTTGGGATATGACGACATTCTCACTGAGGGATGGAGTCCCCAGGACTTCAATCAGGGAGCCGGTCTGACACGGGGCCCCAGGAATAGTTAGGATTCCCCTGATTCTTGGATGTGCGGGATTTGTCCAGGGAAGCCCACCAGTGTCCTTGGTCCCCCAAGCGTTGACCCTGCTTTCAGCTGGCTTTTGCCTCTTGTCTCTGCGTGTCCTGTTCTGCTCAGCACTTCTCGGCTCAATCCTGTTTTTCTCATTTCAGAAATTCCGGGTCGATATGCCTGGCTCCGGCAGTGCCTTCATCCCCACCATCAACGCCATCACGACCAGCCAGGACCTGCAGTGGATGGTGCAGCCCACAGTGATCACCTCCATGTCCAACCCGTACCCCCGCTCGCACCCCTACAGCCCCCTGCCGGGCCTGGCCTCTGTCCCTGGGCACATGGCCCTCCCCAGACCCGGCGTGATCAAGACCATCGGCACCACTGTGGGTCGCAGGAGGAGAGATGAGCAGGTACAGCTCAGATCTGCATAGAAAAGCCATGTCGGTGGCTTTCGGGGCCTCGTGACACGGTGTTTTTGCAGCCTGGTGGGGAGCAGGGTCAGTGTTCTGGGGTCACTGAGAAGAGAAAAAAAGAGGGGCCAGGAGCACGTGATTTCCATCATTGGAGGCAGGGGTGGAGACCTGAGGTCAGGTCCAGCTCTGTCGCCTCCCATGTCCCTTAGAAGTCCTGTCTCAGCTTCCTCAGCGGCAGGATAGGGATCAGGGTACCTGCCAGCCAAGACTTGTTGCCTCTTGAAGGCGGTCAGGCGTGGAAAACACCTTGTAAGTGGTGAGGTGTCAGCAAATGGGAGGGACTGATAGGACCTGCCTGCAGCAGTGTCCTGCTTGATCCGTGGTAGAGTGGCCACAGGACAAGCAGCCAGCGAGCCCTGGCCAGCTTTTTGGGATTAGCCCTTCACTGTCTCCCAGTATCTGGTGCAGACAAGCCGCCCAGCAGACCCAAAGGGTCGCACTCTAGGCCGGTTCCGCCCACAGCACTTTACTTCCTTCCACTAAGGTGTCCTTGGCCTCCAGTGAAGCAGGATAAGTGCCTGGGATGAGTGTTCCAGGGGGCAGGACGGGGGTCCTGGGAGCCTGCCCAGCTGCTTCAGCTGACTCGGGGTGAGGGTGGGAGGTCAGGCATCAGCCTTGTTTTCCTCAAGGGGCTCAGCTGGGAGGAATCAGCTGGCTGGGAGGGACCAGAAAATGGTGGGGCCTCTGCCTTCGAGGCAGCATCCACCAGAAGGCCCCTGGGTGCATCAACAGGGAGCCAGGCAGCCCAGGCCCCCTGATTCCAGAAAGAGCCCGCAGAATCATGCATAATTCCAGGAAGGAGGGTATGAGCTGTCCAAGTGCCCCACATGTACCCCTTCACAGATGACTCGACCAAAGCTCAGACATCCCTGCCTGGGGCCACTCGGCAATGCGAGAGGAGCCTGGACTAGAACCCAGTGCCCGGGACTCCCTGTGCAGTGATCTGCAGGCCATGCCACCAGGAGTCCAGGGAAGGGGACCTGCTGTAGGAGGGGAATCCCTTTTTCAAATCAAGTGTTGACCTGGAGAACCCCTCTGATGACAGCATCACAGCGTTCCAGTACAAGGACCTTTAAACACGGTCCTCTGGGTAATCGTGACCCAGGATACCTGGAATTACAAGGGTCGCTCTCCAAGGAGCCGGAAGCTTCTGCAGGGGCCCTGTATCTACTACGTGCTGGCTTGTTCTGTTCGCAGCAGGACCATGCAGGGTGGCATGGGAGGGGTGCATAAGAGATGCTGTAAGCGATACAGCTCACAGTTGCTGTTGGGCTTCTGCTGGGGTGGGTAGGGGGGCAAGTGGTCAGGATTCCCCTCACCATTGCTTCCATAACTGCAGTAGCAGATATTGCAGTAGCAGTGATCCTCGTGTCTTTTATAAGCCTGCTTCCTTCAGGGAGCCCACGGTGCCACGCTCTGCAGTCACTGGGGAGCTGGATTCTCCCTGTGTGCGACTCCTGAGAGACAGCCAGGCTTGTGAGAGGGACTCTTTGGGGCTAGGAGAACAACAAAGCGAGATGCACTGAACACTCTTGATCCTTTTCTGGGTTTAGCTCACACCAGATTTAGAGGTTTATATCTGGAAGGGATTTTGGAGACCAGCTTTTAAAAATGTTGCCTCTGTACCCATTTTACAGATGGGGAAACTGAGGCCCAGGCAGGAAAAGGGCCTTGGCCAGGGTCACACAGAAAGTTAGTGCAGAGCCAGGACTGGAATCCACCTCCCTTGACCTCCAGCCCTGTGGTTTCCCCACTGCACCATCTAGGCGTGCCCTAAGACAATCTGTCTGGAAAATTTCCTTCCTTTTTTTGAGAGGGAGGGAGAGAGCCAGGAGCATTTTATTTCATGTCATTGTCAATTAGGAGTTCAGACAATCATCCGGCAGCTTGGAGGAAGCCTGGGCGAAGCCTGGGCGGTAGCATCCTCCACCTTGGCTCTCTGGTTCCTAGCCCTCGGGTCTTTTCCCTGAAGCTTGCTTCTGCCTTCCTGACCTCCCCCAGGGGAGGGGCCTGCTACCGGAGCCAGCCTGGTGCCTCCCTGCCCTCCTCCAGCCTGCCCAAGGCTCCCTCTGAGCCCAGGGGCGGTGACTGAGGAGACAGGGAGGGGAGGGTGTGTGTGGCTTGTGGGTGGGTACACGGTAGTGCTGACACACTCAAGCGGTAACCGTGTTGATGTCACCACCCCTGAACACTTCCTATGCCCACAGCTCCCACAAGTTGCCCGCCCCAGACCCTACCAGATAGGAAAGAGACTTCTAGGCCAACGGGGAGGCCGAAAGTTGTCCTGAAGCAGCCAAGGGGAAGGGAGGCCCAAGCGGACCATCCCCGCCGTCCATCCGTGTGGGGGAGGGGCTCGCAGAGCCTCACGGGGAGCCTGAACCCAGGACTGCAGCAGGGCCATCGGGCTCCCTTGGTAACTGTGGGCTCAGGTTGAGACACGTCGAGGAGCAGCAAGTATTCAGGGCCTCGGCACAGTGGCCTCATGACCTCAGCCAGGCGGCCGGCCCCGCACAGAGCAGGGTGTCCGGTCCACCTGGACTCTGCTGGGACTCAGAAAAAAACACGCGAGAGGAGACCTCGGGATCGCATCTCCTTCCTAGCACTTTCTAGTTAGAGGATTCACACGCTGCATCTCATCTGATCATCACAGACAATTTGTGGAAGGCAGGGCAGGTCCTGCTGATCCCATTTTACAGATGGGAAGCCTGAGGCTCAGAAGGTTCGGTGATTCGTCCCAGGCCACACAGAAAGGCCGTTGCTGGGTTCTGCTCCCCGCCGGCCTGATACCTCTCAGAAGAGAGGATGTGGAGCCCGTGGCTCTCTGGGGCTGAGGCCGGGACTTGAGGGATGTGGAGGTGGGACTCGGCTGTGGGGTCAGGTTTTGGAAGGGGCCTGACGACTCCTAGGGACGCTCCCTGCTGGACTGCTCGGTGCATCCCACCTGGCGGCCGCTGCCGGGGCTGAGGGACACAGCGAGGGAGGAGCTGGAGAGAGGAGCTGGCCTGGGTCTTCACCCCGGAGGTGGGAGCGGCAGAGGAGGTGGAGGAGTGTGGTCTGACATCCTAGGAGTGAAGGGCTCTCAGGGCAGACACAGAGGGGTGGGCGCTCGGCCCAGCGGAGCCCCGGGAGGCAGGGACTGACTGCTGGGAGGCCCTGGCGGTCCCTCCCGCCCCCCAGGCGTCCCACCTCCCTCTGGGCCCTGTATGGGGCCTGCTGGGGGAAGGATTTGAAAGCTGAGCAGGTATGATGAGCTTGTCTGTGTCTGAGCAGTAACTGGCACATTTTCATGCCAGTGTTTGGAGAATTTGGATACAGGGCTCGGGCAGCGTGGGGCCACGGGGTCACCTCAGTATCGACAGGGATGGGTGTGTCCTCTGAGGCTGTGCCCTGCTTTGCTGTTCTGGATGGCACGGCACAGCAAACGAGCTGAGGCTCAGGGAGCGTCCCAGGGACTCCGCGTGGGCCCAGCCAAGGGCCTGCCCCCCCTCCCAGGGTGGCCTGGAGCATCCCTCAGCGGGCAGCGTCTCTCCTCCCCTCCAAGAGTGGCTTTGGCTTTCTTGCCCAAGTGTCCCGAGAGTGTGAGACCCAGGTCTTAGCCCCTCAGAGTCTTCTAAGCCCCCAGGACAGCGCTTGGCACATGGGTGTGCCGTCCGTGTCGGATAACCGCACGGGATGGTCTTTCCTTTTGAGCTGCCCTCTGCCTTGGCCCGCAGCCATGTCCTGTGTCACCTCCGCCTGCAGGGCATTGGGCCAGAGCCCTGGATGGGCTGTGTCAGCACTGCCGAGTGGAGCAGAGGTCTTGCCCTGTGGCATGAGTCACGGCCCCTCACCAGCCTCGTTGTAAGAAGCCGGACTGAGCTCTGCGGGGAGGTTTGCTCACTCTGTCCTCAGATAAATCTCGAACCCCTCAAACCATGCCTGGCGCGTAGAAGACGCTTGTTTGCTGATTGAGCGGATGTGGTGGGCAGCGGGAGTTGAGGTGCCTGAGGGCTTCTCCTCCTTTAGCCCATCCTGTCCTGCCTCGTGGTGTGGGCCAGGCCACCGCTGGGTCCTCGGGTGGAACTGAGAGCTGCTGGCAGAGGAAGTCGGGAGTGGGGTGGCATCCTTGACCCTCCCTCTGGCAACAGACCATCCCCCTACCCCCACCTCCCCCACCTGCAGGGTGGTTCTTACTCGGGGGCCCAGCCACTTAGCCAAATGGGGATAATGAGGCTTGCAGAGCAGGCAGGGATGGGAGGGGTAATTAGCCCGGGTTTGGGAGAAGCTGCTGTCGCGGGTGGGGCCGGGCCTGGCTGGCACGAGGGGACTCCCTGGGGGAAGCAGCCCAGCTCCCTCTCGCTGGCCTTGGCACAGCCTCGGGGCTGACATGACAGATGCTGCTGCCGTCACGCCTGGGCCGCGTCCCTGACCCGTGGCTGCGCTGTCCTCCTTTGCACGTGGGGCATCACCTGTGGGTGGGCTCAGCCCTCGGTGTCCTCTGAGCCTGGCCGAGCTCCTCTTGCCTTCCTCCCTCCCTCCCCAGTCCCAGAGGGGCTTCCCGCCCTACTTAAAATGCAGCTAAAAAACAAAAAGCTGGCCCTAACCGGTTTGGCTCAGTGGATAGAGCGTCGGCCTGCGGACTCAAGGGTCCCAGGTTCGATTCCGGTCAAGGGCATGTACCTTGGTTGCCGGCACATCCACAGTGGGAAGTGTGCAGGAGGCAGCTGATCGGTGTTTCTCTCTCATCGATGTTTCTAACTCTCTATCCCTCTCCCTTCCTCTCTGTAAGAAATCAATAAAATATATTTTTTAAAAAAAAGCTGGGGCACTATCCCTGAACCTAACCAGGACCCTCTGCCTTGGCCTCTAGCTGTCCCCTGAAGAGGAGGAGAAGCGTCGAATCCGGAGGGAAAGGAACAAGCTCGCCGCTGCCAAGTGCCGGAACCGCCGTCGGGAGCTGACGGAGAAGCTGCAGGCGGTGAGGAATCTGCGGGGGGAGGTGGGGGTGCCTCTGGGTGGGCTGCGGGGGGCCCCAGGCTCCTGGCCTCCCGCCTTCTCCTGCCCACTAGTGGCCTACAGATGGGTTCGTGGCGATGCACGTTCCTTCCTTGGTGCATGTCGGGTAGCACTGGCCTGGTTGAGGGAGAGGGAAGGAGGGAGCTGGCCTTTGGCACCAGCCTGGGCCCCAGAGAGAAGAGCTGGACCGCTCAGTGGGCCTGGTGCCCTTTCTCACTCGGTGTCTGAGTGTCCCCTGCTCTCAGACCTGCTGGGCTCCGGGTGAGGGATGGCAGACTGTGTGGGCATTGCCAGGCCCCGGGAGCCAAGGCAGGCCTAGACTTGCCCTCTCCAGGGCTGCCTCCCAAGTTCCCAGCCGCCCCCATGCCTACTGCCAGCAGGAGTGGCCCAGCTTGCAGAAGTGACTGGTTTGGGGCTGGGGGCACCTGCTGTGTGGTCTTGATGCCCGCTGGGTCTTGTGGAGACGGTCACATGTCGGCGGAGTGGTGCTGTCCTGGGGCTTTCTCACACCTTCGTGGGCAGGAGGTTCTCCACCTCTGCTAGGAGCCTGAAGCTGTGGCCTGGAACCTCGTTCTGCCCTCGTTGTCACTCTCCCCTGCCACCTCGTTGCCCACACCTGGGGGCCCATGGCTCTGCCCCAAAGCTTGACCTGACCAATGCCACACAACTCGCTCAGAGCCTGCTCTGCAGGAGGGGCCGTCCGCCCCGTGGAGGAAACCCACAGCTAGGACAGGCCCTCCTGGGTAGAGTGTTTCTAAGTGAGGAGATGAGGGAGACCCTGGCATGGTCCTTACAGAGACCAGCCAGTATGGGGCTTTGGAAATCACCGGTTACCTTGCGCATCCCATCCCCTTATGTAATCCTCCCGGTACCACTCGCCTGCTTCAGCTCCTCTCGTCCACCCTGGGGCCCTCGCTCTTGGGTGTTGCATGTGCCCTGTGTGGATGCTGTGATGCCTGTACTGATGCCCCCTGGAGGTGTTCCTGAAAGTCGGGAGGGTGAGGGGGGTTTTCTCGGGGGGGGTTTCTGTTGCCACGTGAGGCGTGAGGCGGGCCCATGAGTGGTCAGCACTCCTTGGGGAGACCTCCCCTCCCAGGAGAGCCCTCTTCACTGCCAACCATTCAAGGAGCCAGGCCCTCTGGGTCTACCCTGGGCGCTCCTTACCACCAGCAGAAGCGTCT